TAAAATGTGAGCCTGTAGCTCATTCTACAACATGCCCACTCCACCATGAAAAATTAGCTCAGTGTATTGATCAAAAAAAATGAGAAGCTGTTCTACACGAATATTAAAGGGAAAAAAAATGAAAGGCGGGTCTGTCCTACACTTGATGGGAACTGGCAAGGTCACAGAGCATTCTTCCTAGAAGCACCATCTCACCAACATCTTGAATTGAAATGCTCTGATGGGTTGGAAGTGGCTCTTGAGCTCACTTTATTCTGAGTTTCATAGGTGTCTAAGGGAAGAATGTCAAAAGGAAAAGAAAAAAAAAAGTGTTTCTTAGGAGGTTCAATTATCTAATCAGGCCATCTACTAAGCAAGAAGTCCGGAATTTACACTAGTTATTTTAATAACAATTTTGAAGAGAAAATGAAATACAAGTTCATACTCTTTCCAAGTTGTAGAAATCTTTGAGATACTAGATGCGTCTCTTTCCATTTTCATTTTAATAACACAATGAAGAAGAGAGTAAGTACTGATTACCAGCCTGTGAATTACTTTTGCAATAGTTCATTTGGAGGGGGAAAAAAAAAAAAAAAGCTGTTTACAGTGATTTTTATTCCTAGCCTCTAAAAAAATACTTCTGCTATTATACCACAGAAGTGTTCACTTTATTCCACCAGCATTTTCCTCATTTGCAACAGAGAACTGTCTCACTAACTCAGTTATACTGCAAACACACTGCAACTAAAGCACTTGTATTTGCAAATTTGACATCAAGCCACTCTGAGTTCCACTCTTGTAGATGAGCACCCATGATTTTTCTCTCTCAGGACCTTTTTAACACATGCTTGGAAGAATGCACCAGCATGGCAATACATGGACTTAAATAAAACCAACCACACACCACAACAAGCAGGGCCACCGCAGAACACCATCTCTTCCAACATATCTTCTTGTTTAATGAAGTAATGCGAGTTACTTATGTAGAACAACTACAGGTGTTTTGCAATCAATTTAAAAGAAATTATGAAGTACCTGATAAGGAAACATATGATTACTGAAACAGTTTTATACAGGAAGGGCAAATGCTTTCAGTTAGACATTACGTGAAATAACTGAAATAAGATCCTTACAAGAAACCCTTGTAGCAAAAGAAGTTTTACAGGAGCGAAACACAATGCCAACAATGTGGATTGGTTTTCTGTTGTTGTTTGTTTTGGTTTTTTATAAATATCAAAGACCAGGAAAAAAAAAAATAGAAGAATAAGTCATGAGGTGAGATTACAGATTTTCTGAACAAGACTGGAATAAAACTATAGAAAAAAAAAAAAAACAACCCACATGCAAAATATAAAAATCTATAGCAGCAAGACCCCCAATGCACAGAAACTTTGCCTTGAATTCCATGACTTCTGCTGAAGAAAGAAGTATAGAGCTGACCTGAATTGTCTGATGCAGATTACAAACAAACCTGTCACGTTTACACTAACATTTTGAGTGTTTTCCTACACATCTCATATTTCATCTCCTCACCCACAACAAAACAAGTAGAACAGTTAAGGTAAAATTGAGAAAAAACAGCAGGCAGATTGGTTCAGTTTTTGAATAGCACATTTGAACATTTTAAGTTTCATTACTGCTGCACCTGGTGTGAAACACAGAGACAAATTACACAAGGAAGGCACTACCACATTTTATCGGAGAATCATTCTTCAAACATCAGTTTTATTTCTATATAATGAGAAACCCTAGAGAAACACCAAACATGAGTAGGGGCAAAACACAGTATCTTATCTAAACTCATTAAAACTGTATTTGGAGATAAGGAGAAAGAAAGAAAGAAGCGCTTTGCTTATAGCAAACACCAGAACAATTACTCCAGCTGCATCCGTTGGAGAACCCTCAGATCCACTCTAATTCTTAAAGCAGGCCACAAGACACCCAACGCTCACTGAGTACAAATGCCCGTGCACTGCAGATTGCTTTTGGGATGCAGGGCTCAAAGGGCTTTGGCAACTCCTGTCTGATGGCATAAACAGACAGCTGGCTACTGATAGCAAAGACACTACTTGCTGTCACCATAAACTCGAAAAAAAAGAAATCAATCATGCTTCCACCAAAAAGTTCTGCTTTCATCTATCGAACTTAACGCAAGAAACAGAAAAGCAAGAGCACGCATGTATTCATTTACACACTCACACGGTGGAGAAGGCGAGGGAGATGGCACAGGCACCGCACCTCTGCGCGGCTTCACATCCGGACGCGATGCTCTAAAGGAGAACACACAGAGGAGCGATGAGATCCGAGATCCCCACCTGCAGCACCACAACCTCCCGCAACGCGGGGCCGGGAGGCAGAAGTTGAGGCGCAGCGCGTTCTGCTCCCGCTCAGCCGCCGCTTCACGGCGTGACCTTGGGCCGCTCCCCCACAGCTCCACTGCCACCTGACAGCCGCAATTATTCGCCACGGGAGCCTCCGCACCGCCGGAACGGAACGGAAAGGGAGGGGAGACGGAACGAGAGGGGGAAGGGGGGGAGCGGGCGTGTGTTTTCTGTTCTCCTCGCAGGTGATAAAAATCTCCCCGACGTCGCTAGAGTCTGGGAGAGGATCGATTCCCGCACCCTTTCCTTTTCCATGCCGTTCCGGTTAAACCGGAGGGCGAGCCAGAGGAGCCGGCACCTCCGGATCTCCCGCCCCGAGCGCGCACGGCAGCCCGCGGAGCCGAACCCTCAGGGCCTCTCCGCCCCCGCGCCCCGCAGGCACAGCCCTCCCGGCGGCCCCGGCCCGGCCGCGCACGGAGGCGGCGTTACTTACAGCACCCGCCAGGCGGAAAACTCACAGGTGGCCCGGAGCCGCTGAGGAGCGAGGCGCGCGCTCCGCCCCGGGCCGCGGGAAGTCACTCCGCTCAGCGGCCGCGCGAGGAGCCGGCGTAGCGAGCTGGGGGCGCTGCACGCCGCTCCCCGCCGCTGCTCGCTTCGCTTCTCCTCGCCTCGCGCGAGCCCGGCTCCCGCCCGCCCTTCCTCCCGCCCGGCTCGAGCCGCCGCCGGCCAATGCGGGCCGCAGCGAGGAGCCGGCTTTAACCATCTGTTGCGAAGCGCCTCCTCCTAGCGCTGCCGCCTCCCTTGCGGGGGGCTCCCGCCCAGGCACCCCTCCGAGGAGGCGAGGAGTGTGGGAGAGATTTACGCTGCGCTAAGGTGCTCTCTGCCCCCCCGGAGCCTTCGAGGGCCGCGGCTGTTGCACGTCTCCCTTCCCCCGCGCTTCTCGCGCCCGGCGCTCCCATCCCCCCGTCCCCTCGGCGCCCTTCCCGCCGTCCGCTCGCTTCAGGGCGGTCCCTCCTGCGTGCTTTCGCTGTGAGGTGAGGGAAGATCTCCACGGGGGCATAGCTTAACGGGTGCGAGGTGCGATGGGGAGGTTTCAGGGGGAGCGGGCTGAGCGGCCAAAAGGAATTTTGTGTGGGGTCCCGCGCTCCTGGGGAATAAAACCCGGAGCCTACACAACTTCTTTACGTCCCGCTTCACGATAACCGCGGCTCTCCACAGGGGTGGCAGGACAGGAGCCGCGCGTCCCGTCCTGCTGGAAGGGCGCGGCGCAAGCTCCGCTTTAGCCGTGCGTGATGAGACTTCTTAGGCGTCTCCTGTGGTGAAGCTGCGCCAGGAGGGTCAAGAGTCGCATTCGCTGTTAAAATAGTTTTGAGTTTTAGCCTTTCACGCCCCTAATTTGAAGGTTTTTCCATAAACGTGGACAATCTATGCTCACGCAGATCTCTCCGCACGATGGTAGCTCGGATGTTTGCAGCAGACACGTAATCTCCACCCAAAGCAGACCCATAGTTCCTGTTTCACTTCTCACTTTTGCATACCTCCTTATGGATTTGATACACACTGACAGTTTGGAGGAAAACAAATGCGTAGGAAGAGATTTAATCATTTCCTTGCTATAGAGCTCTCTGATCGTGCTTTCTAACACATTCTGTACATTTGCAGCAGATTTCCCACTGAAAATTCAGGAGTAAGAAGCTAATTTTATTCCATACAGATCCCAGGCTAATATTTTTATGACGATGTGTCAAGAAAATAATGCAAATTCTTTTCAACTTTCACCAACTTAAAGCTAAGAAAACAGTCTTAAGACGCCTGCTGTGGGATGAAAAAAATATATGTAATGCATGTGTTAAATCAAGTTCTAAATGAAATTTAGACTTTTTTTTTCAACCTGTCTCATTGCTGTTTCCCACTAGAGCAGTTTCCAAGCAGAGTTAGGAGTTTGAAACCAGAGCATGGATGAAATGTGTTCTGTAGCTCTGTGTATTCTTATGTTACTTTCTTGCATTTTCTTTGCTATTTTGAGACACTATTATGCAAATCTTAAGGTAATCAATACTCATTAACGTGTGTGTTATCCAGATCTAGATAGCTTTAATCATAAATCCTTTCCTTTTATTATAAAAGATACATGATTTCTTATTCTACTCCATGCTGTTATAAAATGGCTCACAGTAAGTGGCACATTATTACATATAGACAGTTTTCAAAAATAGGATGTTTCTTACCCACACAGAAGGCTTTATTTTTGCATTAGATTATCTCAATACAGTTGAGATTTCTTATGACAAAAAGAAGTCTCAAAAATGTCAGAAATTATTTGAAATTCTGAAAATTACTTTAAATGTTTTGGATTTTTTCTCATGAACCTCCAGATGGATGAAATTTTACCCTTGTGTGCATGTGGGATGCCTGCAAGTCTGAAGGGAGAATTCGTCATTACAAGATATTTTTAAAGAACAGTTTATATATAGTTAGAATTATCAGGGTGATGAATTAGCTAGTGAATCTTCCATTAATCTTAAGACTATTCTCAATGCTAAGTTATCCCCATATGTATTATTACTAAGCCTCATCATCATTAAGATACTGTTTTTTAGCATTACTATGAGATTTTGTCCTACTATTCTAAGAATTTTTCTGTTATTTAATTACTGCATAACAATTTAACATCTTAAACCAATTGTTCTAGGTACCAAAGGCACGTAAAAAGAGATGCTCTTCACACAAGTACTTTGCATGCTGTCATACATAGACATCAGAGAAAGAACGGCTAGGACTGGAATGATCCGGAGACAAGCAACTGCCCCCTGAAACAGTGAAAATACAAATCATTTGTTCAGTTGTACAAGTCTTGACAGAACCCAAAAGCATGTAGAGGTAAGTGCAGTCCACTGATATAATAAACAAAACACTGTAAGTATAGAAATTACGCCTTATGTCTCCAAATAATGCTTCTTTTATCTTACAGGAAAATGTCATGTTAGTGGCCAGTTGCAAAGGCAGTTGCTCAATTTTTTTTATGCAAACAAAAACTTATTTCTCCCAGTTCATCACAGTTTTTATTACATATTTTGATCAGTTATAAACATGAAAAATTCCTGTGTGCATACAGTATCATGTATATCATGGATGTGATTAAGACAAGATTCAAATAGACCAGCAACATGCCATCAACTCAGGCATTTTCTTCTGATTTTCCCTTGCTGCTATGCTGGTATAACCTTAAGCAATTTGTTGAATTTGCCTGCGCATCATTCACTCATCTGCGAAATCTGGGATACTTGAAGTACACTTTCATAGTAGTAAGAATTCGTGAATGCATTTGTTAGCTAATTTGCTGTAAGTAAATAAGATATTTAAATATAGGAATCCAAACCACTCATCATAATATTTTTTCCTGCTTCATTCTAAGCAGTATAAATATAGCAGTCTATATTGCTTAACACAGAGCTTAAAAACTTGGCAGTATGTTTGTCAAATACCATAATATACATCTTAGAATCACTAAAGATCCTGTGTGAAAGTTTAAGGGAAACAGCACACCAATTTTGCTAATTGGTCTGTGTTATATTAACAATATGTGGAGAGGTAAGGCTGGAAATACAGTTCAGGAGATCAAGGACCATGCAAAAAGAATGGACAGTTTCCACAGAAGAGCTTGGGTTGGAAGGAACCTCAGACTGTCTGCTTCCACACTCCCTGCCATAGGCAGGGTTGGCAATCACTAAATCAGGTAAAAGACTGTGTTGCAAAGAGTCCCATCCAATCAGGCTTTGAACACCTCCAAGTATGTGGCATCTACAACTTCTCTAGGCATCCTGTTACAGCACCTCGCCATCCTCTCAGTAAAAATGCCCACCGACATCCAACCTACATCTCCTCTCTTTCAATTTAAAGCCATTCTCCTCTTGTCCTGTCACCATCTACCATTCATAAGCTCCCTTTAGGTATTGGAAGGCCACTATCAGGTTTCCCTTGAGCCTTCTCTTCTATACGCTGAAAGGATTTCACAGTAAGGAACTGTGTATCTTTGAGTTCTGTGTATTCTTCATGGAAAAAAAGATCTCAGTACCCAATTATGGGAGTTCAAAGAAACTAAGGTCTGATATCCACAAAAAACCTTTTCAGAACACTGTTGGGCATGGTTTTCATATTCATCAGTACATTAAGCTCAGAAAACATCTCACCATCCACACACTACATGCTTTTACTAAAAATTCTGACTTTAGAGAGTGCTTTCAGGACTCTTCCAACAAGAGGCTGTGTGCTTACATATAATTACTCTTCAGCTTTCTCCCCACATTGTTTATGCAGAGGGGGAGAACTATGACCTATTAGGATGCTTCTGTAGAGTTAAAAATATTGATATCCATTAGGTACAATAATCACATTTTTAAAATCCCTAATGTCTTAGAAGATCCATTAGCCTTAATCATTCCAACACTTTTGAATGGTCTTGCCATCTGCCTTTTTCCAAATAAAGATATATCAAGTTACGTTAATAGCATCAGTAATTAAATACTTGTGGGAACTCAAAAACAAACCCTAAGACCCAAATAACGTAAACTTGGGCCACTGATGGAGTTCAGGATCTTGCAGCAGGCCATTCTCTGAAGTGACACAGTCGAAAATACAAGAGTGATGCTCAGCATGTGACTGCAAAGCTGAGGTTTCAATTTTTTCCACGTGATGTATGTTAACAGTTGGAAAAAAAAAACCCTCAAGACTGAGTAAACTAGAAATATACCATGCAGCCATAGTCAGGAAAAAGCTGCTTTGTTATAAAGACGAAACAGACTTGTGGCAATGTTGCCACTTTTTGTAAACTGTTGAAAGCTAGGTTTTATTCCTTATTTCTGTTGTATCTTAGTAATGACTCAGGAACTGGTAGGAGAAGGAACGTGCTGTTGTAAATGTTGCAAGACCTAGCCTGGATTTAGATACTATTGCAAATTTACTAAACAAATTCATCTCAAAAACTGAAATCAGAGTGTCATTTAGGCACTGACACTACTGAGAAAACAAAAACATTGGTGGACATGGCTAATCACTGCAAATGCCAGTGGATAGTAAGTGAAATGTGACGTTCCCACCCTATAGGACCATATCTTCTGCTAGCAATCAACAACACCATCTGTTATAAGAAAGGAAAAAAAGGGAAAAAAAAGAAAACAATAGCAACAAAAGGTACTAGAAATATGTAGCTGTCTAGATTTCAGAACGTGAGACAGTTGTCTATTTAACTTCAAGATGAGTCTTTCTGTGTAAAGACAGCTATCAAAATTTTGATTTTTCACATATCCCTTGTTAATTGCAGCAACTGGTATCTGCAATCTCATGTTTTCCATTCTCTTAGTTGTAAAACATTAAGAGAAATGGATTATAACTCCAGTATTAATAGGGAAATGCTCAGTAATAATAATCTGTAGCTTCTAGAGTGCTTTTCCATCTCTAAAGGCTCTGCAAACATTAATTATGCTGTTCAGTGTTCAGTTCTGGGAAAACATGCAATCCTACTAGACAGTTGAGCTTTATTGTGACTTTTAAAGCCTGAACTGTGCTTTGGGGGTTGGATGAGTGAGCACGTGCTGAGGAAAGTACTGTAGTGATATCTTTTCAAGGTACACAGTCCAGTGTATCAAAATACACCTGTCTGGATCCATTCTTCATCTCAGTTAAAAATGACCACCCTTACTCTTTGGCTTTGTTACTTCCTACAGCTTCTGCCTAAAGACACTGATCCTTCCTTTGTTAGCAAATACCTTGAGTGATCTGGATTATACTTATCCAAAAGTTACTCTTTTAAAGCCTAATTACAACATTAGTTACAAATGGTAACTAAACCAAATTTCTTCATTTGAAATGCGTAGAACAGTCACGTTCTACAAGCATGTGTAAGTTACAGTGGAGACCTGCCAGTGATGCTATCTGAGCAACTACAAGTATTGTGTATCTGTTTTGATACAGTAGTACATCTAGCACTGCTAACAGAGCAGAACTTTTCAGGATTTGAATGAAAGACTGTCTAGGGCACCTTAGCTAAGCTTCAGAAGTTTGGGGTTTTTTTTTCCTCTATCTCCATTATGCTGAGGGAAAGCATCTTATGGAGACGCAGTAAAAGAAGTCATTTCAGTGGGGAAAAAGAGACAGAGAAAGAACTTCATGTAGCTCAGAAGTTTCTGCCAAGTTGCTTGCTATAGAAGTTTCTGTAGACACACTTTGTAAGCAAAGATCGCTTGGACTCTAGCAGGGGACTGAGCATTTTGTGAGGAGATGTACAGCTATACACTGCAGGACAGGGCTCACATTATTTACTGAGAGATGACTGGCTGCCTGCCAAGCTGAAAAACATTCCCTTGCTAGCATTTCAGCTAAAGAAAAAATAAATACCTCAATATTGCTCTGTTGCAGTGCTTAGACTCTACACTTCAAATGGAAAAATGAAAGTTATTGCAACAATAAATGACCCTCTAAGATCTAAAATCTTCCAGGGCTCTCTCTCTAGTCTTTTCTAATGAACCTTTGCAATTTCACCAAAGTCAGAATGTGGTGTTTGTATCAATAGATCACGCCTGTGCATACATATGCAATGTGTGCAGAGAAGTGACATGTTTTAATTGTATTTTTAATGGGAAAAATCTAGTAATTCCATGAAATATGCTACTGGTCTTGTGATTGATGATTTCATTTTGAACAAGGCAAATTTAAAATGAGTCTAAGAGCACAGTCTGCTGCATTAACTGTGAAATTACTCAGTGTTGCATACACACATTTATGCATTGATCTAATATTTTGTTTTGTGGGTTGCATGTGCACATGGTATCTTTACTGGTTACAAGTGCATAGACCTTTCCCAGTACTTTAATGTTTCTAAAGTAACACAAAGTGCGATTTCTGCAGAACTTCATGGGAATTCTCTACTTAGAAAAAAATTTAAAATTGAACAGTTACCACTGGGAACTTTTTCTTACAGTACCTGGAAGTTACATTTCTTATGTGCAGTGCTACTGCAGGTCCATACTTCTGTTAATCATTGGATCTGTAGTTTGTAAATGGAGAATAGAACACTCAGCTCTAAGTCCCCACCTGAAGCAAGCATTGATCTGCTGCTGTCTTCAGTCACACAGGTTGACTCACAGGTTGGATTTAAATATTTTTCTAATGATTCTTATTAGATATCTCAGGCACAAAGAAGTAAACAGTGCAGTTACAGGCCAGGCCACACAAGCATAAGTTTGTAGACATTAAGCAAAGAAGGAACCGTTCTAATAGCTCACGTATTATTTTGCAGACTCTCATGCTATGTAATTTTTATATACCAAGCTTACAACACTCCCTGAGCTTTGGAGCACACTATTTGAACCACAGTCAGATCTGAATTTAGCTACTGGTCTTTTACCATGTACAACTCTAGCAGAACTGTTGTTTTCGTTTCTCAACTTTGTATCTGGACTCAAACTGGACCTGCAAGGGTGAGATACATTTCAATATGTATGAAGACAAATTTGAATCTTTAGAGTCACAAGGGCGTTTTGACTGGAAGAGGCTCGTGTTAGAGACCAGAGATTATGTGCAAAAGCAGAACTTCTTTTGCATTTGAATGGTCTCAGATATATACACTGATGTGTCTATGTATGCATATATGTAAATTTGTATATAGGTAACAATTTTCCTGAGACTGTCTGTATAAATTATGCCTTTTTAAAAGGATGATCAAGTGTTGGGCTGAAGTCAAACACCTTTAGCTGTAAGCTGGATTTCTAGGTGTAAAACATTATAATAAGTGTAAGACATTATAATAACACATCCTTTTTGCACATACCCTTCCTTTAGGTAGAAAAAAACCACAGTCCAACACTGTGCTTCACGCTACTTGC